GACGAAAAGTGGATCATCTACGACAACATAGTGCGCAAGAGATCATGGGGAACCACTGGCAAGCCGCCGAATGCCACCCCGAAGGCCGGCCTGCATCCGAAGAAGATTTTGCTATCCATATGGTGGGATCATCGTGGTGTGCTGTTTTACGAGCTGCTTCCTCAGGGAAAAACGATCGATTCGAAGGTCTACTGCACGCAGCTAACGAAATTGAATCAAGCATTGCGACAGAAACGTCCAGAACTGGTCAATCGCAAAGGTGTCATATTCCACCATGACAACACCAGACTCCACACTGCAAAAATCACTCAGCAAAAATTAGTGCAACTTGGCTGGGATGTTTTGCCCCACCCACCGTATTCACCAGACCTTGCGCCATCCGACTACCACTTGTTCCGGTCCCTGCAAAACTCCCTCAACGGGAAATCGTTCGCTGATCAGACAGCTGTGAAAACGTACCTTGACCGGTTTTTCGCCTCTAAGCCCCAGACCTTCTATGAGAGCGGAATAATGAAATTGTTGAAAAGATGGCAAGAGGTCATTAACAAAAACGGAGAATATATCATTGATTAAAATTCATTCTTTGTATGAAAAAAACTTGTTTCATTTTAGCCTTCAAAAACTGAACGATTATATGAATCCACCCAATATATGAAAATATATCACATATATGAAAAATTCTAAGAAAAGATGCCGATTTCAGCTTCTCTCACTTTTTCGTTAAATGTCTCGATTTTAGTATATAAAGTAGTAAAAAAACCCCGTTGAAAGATATTTTATAAATTTTGTTAAATTATTGTACAAAATATATATTATTGTTGCCAGGAAGTAACATTACTGTTACCAATGAGTATAGTTGAATGAATTTTTCCTATAATGTAAATGACAGCGCAAATAACTCAATTTTGATTTTGGATTTTCAAAGCAATATATTCAGAGTAAATTTAACTTTGATTAATTCAATTGCCAAGAATTTTATACATTTCTTTTATTTTGTTAAGCGAAAGGGAGGGATGTGCCGCGGACATAAAGATAAATATAAACAATAATAACATCGATGTATATTTATTAATATCGAAATTGAGTCTGAATTAATGTTTCATCTTCCTTATTAAAGCAGATAATTTCGAATTTTTCGTCGATCGTACATCCACACGTAGCGACTATTACCGCAATTTTAATCCTTTTAATTGTAATGAATTTTGTTAGCGGTGATAGTCGCTACGATCGGCGAAAAATTTTGCCGCCACTTTATAAATTTGCCCCATTTGTCCGGTACATCATTTTGTATCACAATTTTATTGTTGAAGAAGTTTATCAATATCTAAGCCTAATCTACAATTATGTTTTTGATTTCCTGTTTCTTATTTTTTACCACTTTTTACTATTTTGTTTTTTTTTTTGCCTCTTATCTAAGTTTTCGCTCGATGTAAAAGTTGAACTTCAAAAGGAAAGGAAAAGACAAGAATATACATATGAAAAGAAACTTGTGTGTCCATAAAATGTCGCAAAGAAGAAAAAAGTATGATATAAAAAGCAAGAAACAGGAAGAGAGCAAAGAATATATTGTACATTAGCATATATGGTACATTTAATGATTAAAGCAATAAAACAGCGTTCTTTCTTTACATCCAATTTAATTTTACATAATTTAAATGTTTTAAACAGAGTTTTCATTGAATGTATTAAATGCATTATATCAAAGAAATTGAAATAAATTTAAAACAAGTAAGTTATGAAGTCACAAATAGAAATACCGGCTTTAATTAGCAGAAATATAATGAAAAGAACGTAAAATTTATATTGAATTTCGTATAATTTCTATAATTAATTCACATAAATCTATAATGTAATCTCATTAAGAATTAAAAACAGAAAATTATATACAAGTTGATATTAATCTATTATATAAAAAATAATAATCTTAAAAAAAAAACATTCCAAAAGTATTATATATATTTATTACTATAGTATGGAAAAATATATTTCTTATGTCTATATTCTATGTGAAGATATGAAGTTGAAAAAAGAAACAAAGAATGTGAATTAATTTTAATCGTAAATTATTATATAATATGTATGTAAAATATCAAAACGAGTCATATCAATATCATAATTTTCTTATTTTAATATTAGAATAATTTAATAATTATTTGTATATATAACTATACTTAAGCTAAATATATAACAGAATATCTAGAAAATTTCAAAAAATTTGATTTATTATAGAGACATTTCATAAAGGCTTGCATCATAAGATATAGTCAACGCGATGCTACAAATGCTTTGAAGCATTTTTTAATTGGTCAGTTTGCAAAATTCTTTTTTCTAATTGGTCCATTAAACACTTCAAAGCGTTTGTAGCAAGCCTTTGACCACAGCCATAGTTACACGCCGCTATTAGAATTGATTACAAAGTCGTATGCACTATTGTAGTTTAAAATTATATCTTTAAATTCTTTTAATCTAATAATAGCGTGCTTGTGAACTTTCAAGTTTTTCTTTTTGTATCTTACCGCAGTAATCATTTTATCCAAAATGTAATGCAACCACAAAACATTCGTATATGGTTCAAATTTTCGCCAATCATTCCTGCACATATGATGGAAGTACAAATAAACAGTATATAAGAAAAAGGTAAGAAATAAAAAATGTATGTGACTTACTGAATTTTGTCGCGCATAAGACGATAAATGTCAAATTGATATTCACCATGAGCAGTAAATAAAGCTGGATCTAGTGCAAGATCATTATATATACAACATCCTTGGTATAACATCCTCGATAGCGTAAAATCTATTATAGATACCTTGAGAAAAATTTAATAAGATTATAAATTTACATAAAAAAAAGTTGTAATAATATTTAAAATATTTTTCGTAGAACAAACCTTTACACCTTCACTAGGAAACTTGATCTCTCTCCCTCCGAGATTATAATATATATATTGTTCTTTTGTTCTTGATATTAATACATTACCCCAATGTAAATCTCTATGTTCAAATTCAAGTGCTTTTTCTGCAACTGCTAAGGCCAATGCAGTCTATAAAATACAAAAATTTATAAACAGGATAATTCATGATGGATAATTTATCAAACATTGTTGTTATTTGATATATTGATGATAAACAATTAACCTGTAAAAATAGAGCGCAAGCCTCCTCTGCAGTTTGAAATACAAAGGCTTCAAGATCTTCCCCACCGTGACTCAGTTCAAGAGCAATGTACAATTGATTTTCATCAAACATCGATGGACAATCATTATCGGACGTTTTGTGATTGTCATAAATATTCCAAAGTTCTAAGAGCTTTTCTGGATATTTTCCTATAATACAGCTGATATTTTTAACTTCTACAAATCCATTAGTTTTATAGGTATCATTTAATTTTAGATTATCCAATTCCCTGCAAATATCTTCTTTCATAATTTTTGTCAACAATGTCATCAATATGTGCATACAATTGATTAATTAACTCACTTTGCAATCACAATTTCTGACAATATTTCATTAAATTTCTTTTGTGGTTCACCATTGACTAACTGTTCATTTTCTATAGGAATAATTTTTATAACAGATTTTTTACCCTCACATTCATGAAGAAAAACTTCTCCATAAACACCTTCGCCTATTTTATAGCAATGTTCCAAATACCTAAGAACAGAGTAATTAATGTTACAATTTATATATATTTACAATTTATATATATTTACATTAATTAAAACCATTTGTATAAATATATACTAAGATCTGCATACAAATCTGGAAAACAATCTTCAAAAGGAATATAACAGTTTTGTGAACATCTCTGTAAAACAACATCTCTTGCAATACTGAAATGATTACTGATAATTTGATTGTTATGTATCAATGATTTTTCCCAGTCTGTAAATATTTATTTAATTTGTACTAATTATTAATATAACATTCTGTGTAATATGTAAAAATGTAATGCTGTAAAACGAATAAATTGTGTACAGTAATATGTGATTAAAAATACTTACATGATAATTTCGAGTTTGAAGATTTTTTTGCAGTTATTCCAAATGCCTCAAGAAATGGTGTGTCTTTGATTTCACACTTAGTATTTGTACTATTAAGCACAACTCTTACTGAGATTCTTTTAGAAAATCTAGGATAACTCGCTAAATCAAATTCTTTACATTTGTTACTGTTAAACGATGATGCGTTTGATATGTTAAGCTTACCGCTAGATAAATTTGTATCATCTTTATCCTTTTTCAAACAACTTTGGAAAATTCCTGCACATAACGATTATTATAATTTTAATATTGTCTGCCACTACATACACATTATATAATATTATCAGATTATAAATACTACAAAGCTTACCCATTTAGTAAAGACTTTAAATGTAAGTATCAAAACTTTTTTTTATATTTGTTCAATCTCATTATTATAAAAATGTATCAAATCTTGAAATATTATCACTTTAAAAATTATACAATGTAAAAAACAGCATCAAAATGTAAAAATTAAATATAAAAATCATTTAAGATCTCTTATTATATTTGTTTATAAGATGTTATTGGTTAGTGCTTCTAAATAACAATTTTGTTTAACAAGTTATCTTCAATTGTTTTTCAAGCAAATTACAAATATTAATATTTATACAAAATTTTAATGCCTTAACTGATGACCCTTCAGTATTTGCACAAAAAACATACAGATTGTCATATTTTAATCTATCATTTTATCTTTGCAAGATAAGAATCTCATAAACTATTAATTTTTTAAGTTATTATACTTTAATATTTTTATACAGAGACCAAAAAGATGAATCAATTGGTGTAAAGAAACAAGAAATAAAAAAATGATATTAAATATACCTTGTTTTTGCATATCCAGTATATTTCTGACACTGTATCTCCATTTTTTCCCCTTTCCAATACTTAATTTGTCTAAATTAGATTCATCGTTTATATTATTTAATATTGACAAAGATCTAGCCCAATACTTGCCCGGTTTTAAAAAAACAGATTGATCCATTTGTTCATTTGTATCACTATATGGTTGAGTCATGAAGGATTCAAAATGATCGCGAGACAAATTTGCATTCTTAGAATGCTCAAAATTATGTGTTGATTGAACATTAGAAAGGTCTTTGTCAATTGTTATATAGTGAACTTCATTGTTCGATTGTACAGCTTCATTATTTACACTATCGGAAATATTTGACATGCTTAAATGCCATTTAGGATATTGCATTCTTCTTCCTATTCTAATCGGATCATGTAATCGTGTAAGCAGCACACGAGCATCCATGTTAATATTATCTTGGCTTTTATCAAATAAACTGTGTTTATTAATGTTAGCAGTTTTATCTTTAAGACTCTCATGAATTGCTTCTATTATATTTATTTCTGTTATATCATGATTTTCTTGAAATTTATTTTTTTGCATATTATTATCTAAATCTTTGAATGTTGAACATACTTTGGAAGGTGATATACATAATGAGTTTGCATCAGCTTTATTATTACTTGATAATTGCTTTTGTTTTAAACATAAATCGATGGATGAGTCTACAGTTTCTATAAATTTATGCATATCAGAACGTTTCTTTTTTATTTTATCTTCATTTGTATCTTTCGGCGAATGATTGTGACTATATGTTGTATCATCAAATAATGATCGGGATTGATAAGTAGACATATTTAATAAATACGGAATTTCCGTTTTAACATCACATTCTGTATTATATTTTTGAGTAACAGCTGCATGAACATCATTCTTGTAAGACATTACTCCATTTTTAACAACAGAATCTGTAGTTTGTGATTTCTGGGACAATAAAATTTGTGTTTGCTGTACATCTGTGGACTTGAGTTTAGAATCTTCCGATATCGTAAACAAAGAATGAGAAATTTTCTGATCAATGTCGGAAATATCTTCTTCTGTAGTTACTAATGAACCTTCTTGACTCCAATGTGATTTGTTATAAATATTAGACTTAATGGGAGATAATACTACTAAACTAGGTTTGACTCGTTTGCTAAAAGGAGTGCTAGAAAATATGTTAGGCTTTTTTTCAAATACTGTATTATTTTCTTTTGCAAACTCTCCTATTTCTAATCTTTCCACTTTTACAAAACTATTTTTTATTAGATCTCTTTCTTTCTTCGTATCACATGATGTAAGTTCAATACTTTTGTTGCAGTTTGGAGTAATTTCAGATGAGTTATATAAAACCAAATGTGATATGTTTGATATATCTTTTATATTGATAGTATCTTTCATGTTTCTTTTACTTCCTAATACATGCTGATCTTTAACAATATTATTGTACAATGCTACAGAACAATGTTTAACTGACATATGTTTAAAGTCAGCCAACTCATTATGTTCAATTGAGATTGATTGCGAAACAGTATTTTGTACTTTAGAAATATTTTTCTTAGTTTGTAAAGTATCTTGTAACAAGAATTTTGTATCATTCAATATATCTTGCTTATTTTCTAGAAACTTTTTATGATTCAATATGTAATTTTGCACAGTAAAAGCATTTAATTTAACAAAACATGGTTTGATGGTTTGTTGATAGTTTCCTATATGCTTAACATCAGCAATGGATTCATTAATTGTAATTGATTGATTTTGTGATATAATTATTTTGTCAATCTTTAAAACATTTTGTAGCAAAGATTCATGGGTATCACTGCATAAAATATCGTTTTTATATGAGATATCTTCCAAATTATCTAGAGCATTAGGATTTATATGAGAGATTTGTTCAATGCATACGCGACTAGGCTTAGACTTATTTTTTAGCTTTTTCTTTTTTTTTATCTTGTTTGCTTGTCTCTTCTGTCCCTAGTTATTAATACATACAATTAAAAATAAATTCAATCATTTATTTAAAAAAAAACTGGACATACCTGTGCTTTTCCTAAGTATGTTTTATCTTTAACTGACATTTTTTTTGTTTTTTTAGACAACATTTCTATAGAAATAACTTCTGATTCAGATTTTTTTTGTTTCCTGCATTTACGAGCCGATTTATGGCTAACATTTGTTGAACTAGGTGTACTATTGTGTATAAAAAGATCAGAAGTTATATGTTCAGATTTTAGACTTGTTGCATCGGTAATATTATCATCACTGCTACTGTTTTTCCATGAATCGTTTTGATTTGTATCCAATGGCATAGGAGGTACTCTGTGTCAAAATATATATAAATTTAGGGTTAAATATACATATATAAACATATAAAATCTTCAATATAACACACAAAAATAAAGTAAATTCATATAAAATATAAACAAAGATAAATCAATGAAAAATGAACATGTTCAATCTACTTATTACAAATTTTTCTTACACTACTTCTTTGGCAAGTCTGTCAAATGTCGTTTCGAATGGATCATAATTTAAAGAATCATTAAACAGTTCATTTTTAAAACGACTGTTTTCCACAAAATATTTTTCACTTGATATAGCAGATGTCAATGAATTCATAAAAGGTTTCTTTGTAGGTTTTCTCTGATAAGTTCGAATTGGTTTTTTCCTCAACATTTTACCTAAAAAATGAAAATATTCATTTTAAAAGTTATTTTTCAGAACATATAAACAAGTTAGAAAAAAAAATGTGATAAGCAATGCAATCAGTATTATTTGAATATTTATTTAAAAAATGTTAAAACTTTCTTTATAAAACACTCTGTCATAAATATACGATTTTCAAGAAATATGTTTCGAATATTTATATAGATGCAACAAATTGCATCGCGATTTTTATCAAAACTTGTTCACTCGATATTTTCATTCGAAATAAGTCAAAGCATCAAGCATGAACTACCAAGTACCACGAAAAGCGAGCATAGAATTCAAGTCCTAGACTGTAGTTAAAGTCTCGCTACAAATGTTTTGAAGCATTTGAGGGACCAATTAGAAGAAAGAATTTTACGAACTGACCAGTTAAAAAACGCTTCAAAGCGTTTGCAGCATCGTACTCCCTAGTTTACATCGAACACTTGAGGCTGCCGTCCCATGAGCGAAAATTTACAGCGAAACGAAACAGACTAATCACAATCGTAGAAAAGAAAGCAGAGTTATGATTGATCGCGCTGTTCCGTTGTAAATTTCGGCTTATGAGACGGCTGACTGGATACGCGCTGATACGCGTATTATTAACTAGTAACTTCCACCATGCATGAAAATATGACCGCAGCGCATGCTCGCATTGCGATATTTCGCGGCTGTGACTGTTGTCCTAACCTCTGAATAGTTGTCAACTAATAATTTAATGATTAATGATTAATATTTCGATTTACGGAATAAAGCGACACATTTTTTCTTATTAAATCTTTATTTTTACGCGAAAACGCATCGATTCAGTGTATTTTTATCAAAATTTAAGGTTGACGGAGTCTTCTTAACATTTACCAAAGAAAATGGAACGCACTGAAGAAGATTGGTTTGTAGAGTGTTCAGATGATGAAAAATATGAAATGGATGAAAAGGTGAAATAGAATCATATTTATTTGATATGTCAATCTTTAACCAAATCCTCATTATGTATAATCTATATAATTTTATAAAAGATTCTTTTACACATATACATCTAATTGATTGTTTTTTTACTACTTACTAATAAATGTCTAAGCTTACATTTAAAACTTTTTCGTCTTAATTTGCAATAAATATCTTTTATATTTTTTTATTTGTATAGCATAAATGGAATATAAAGGCTGAAGAGATGCTCTCATTAATTGAAGGTTTGGAAGTAAATAATTGTATTCTAGAACTTGAATGGAAGTGTCCTGGTAGACGAGGGCCTTCCCCTGTTCCTTCAAACAATTTACAACAGGAGCTTGAATCTCCAGAATATAAGTAAGTTTTCAGCAGTAATTTTTAATTATTTTTATTTTATTTGTATATATTGACATTATCTGTACAGAACTGAAGAAAAGTCTGACTTTGATTTTATGGATGAAATGTCATTACCAAGATTACCTGTTCGGAGAATTGGCGAAAGTACTCCAAAAGGTAGTGCCAAGAAAAAAATTGCTAGCTTTAATGGAGTAATATCTACAATGTTAAGACATCGTAGATTGGAGCAACAAGAAATAAATTCAAGTCCAAAAAAAGGCGAATCTCCTATGTTAAAGCCACCTACTTAAAGATGAATTACTTAAAATTGAAATAATTCAATAATTGTTTTTGAATCACAAAAAAACGTCCCTTGAAAGTTTATTTTGTCTGGAATTATTTCAAAAATCGTTACATTTAAAATTTTACCATACTGTAATATTTCATTGTGTAATATTTCATGTTGCAATATTTCTATAATATAATTTAAGAATTTTGCATTTTCTTAAATATATAAAGTTTAATTATATATTTCTAAACATTTTAAATATGAAACAGGTAAAATATTTTTTTCAATTATTGAAAAAAAATTAAATTTTTTAATTTAATTTTGCAAATATATCACTAAGATGATTCGCCGTTACAGTTTTTGCTGAAATTCTATTTTGAAATTATAATATAATAAATTGCGCAAATGTTTATCAATATTTTAGAAAAGGTCAATCTATTTTTGCAAATATATATCTACGTAATAGCAGACTATAATTTTTATGCAAGATTTTTTTCGTCATATTATTCAATAAATGTTATTCTAAATATTTTAAATATTATAAAAATTATAAATGAAGATGTAGTAATATTATATCTTAATTAATTTCCTTTAGATTTCCGAGTTATTTATATTTAATTGTTTTTCAAAAATAATATTTGACATTTATTGAATAATTATTGAATGATTATTTTCGATTGGCGTCTATTTGTTGTGATTGATCACCAGCCACTCACAGCACTTGAAGGTCAATCACAACGTAATCAAATGGGATGCTCTCATTATTATTTTTAAAAAAACTTATATGATTATTCCGATGCTGGTAGGCTGCGATTCACTTACTGTATGTGACGATATTATGCATTGGTACACATTCTGCATAGACTGGTACATTCACATTTGATAAAACTGTGTAAGCTGGTTAAATTCGTGGTATATAAAAATATAGATTAATAAAAGAAATTATTAACTAATATTTGATAATTAAATTTTAAATACCTAATTTTGAATGATTTATTGAAAAAAAAAATTTTATAATTATTAAATAACAATAATGAAAAGACAAATGGCATCAAAATAAAATTGGTTCAAATATATTATTGCACTTGTCATTTGTATTCATATCAATATTATTAGTTTTATTATTGTCGAGTATCAATCTTATCTTATGATACGATTTAGAAAACTTGATAGATTTTGCAAACATATATAAATATGAACTTGTAAAAATATCGAAATTTAATCTTTATAATAATTGTAAATATATAATGAATGTAAAATACTTTACAATAAATTTTTTTTATAAAAATATAAAAATTTGATAAAATTCGATGATTGCATTATCATTAGATGCACAAGATTAAAAATTAATATCAGATGTACCTGATTGTTTAAAATGCTATTAACTTCATAAAAAATAAGACGTAGACTATTATATTTGCTTATATCATTTCCTATTTATCAATTCCAGATATCAATCTGGATCGATAATAAATTATGTGATTTTATTATTTTTATTTTTAATTATATATTATTTAACATTATTTTCAATAATTGAAATTATTTAATTAAATATTTATCTATAATTATTTTTTTATTTTATAAAATTTAGGTATTTAATAGTGGTGTGTGTGCACGCGCGGTAAGCCAAGCGGTACGCTATTGCCATGCGCGCCCGCTAAATCTGAAATCCTGATTGGGATATACGCATATTACGCGTTTTGCGTCATGCGACCGCGCTTGCTTTTATGCAAGATTTTTTTCGTCATATTATTCAATAAATGTTATTCTAAATATTTTAAATATTATAAAAATTATAAATGAAGATGTAGTAATATTATATCTTAATTAATTTCCTTTAGATTTCCGAGTTATTTATATTTAATTGTTTTTCAAAAATAATATTTGACATTTATTGAATAATTATTGAATGATTATTTTCGATTGGCGTCTATTTGTTGTGATTGATCACCAGCCACTCACAGCACTTGAAGGTCAATCACAACGTAATCAAATGGGATGCTCTCATTATTATTTTTAAAAAAACTTATATGATTATTCCGATGCTGGTAGGCTGCGATTCACTTACTGTATGTGACGATATTATGCATTGGTACACATTCTGCATAGACTGGTACATTCACATTTGATAAAACTGTGTAAGCTGGTTAAATTCGTGGTATATAAAAATATAGATTAATAAAAGAAATTATTAACTAATATTTGATAATTAAATTTTAAATACCTAATTTTGAATGATTTATTGAAAAAAAAAATTTTATAATTATTAAATAACAATAATGAAAAGACAAATGGCATCAAAATAAAATTGGTTCAAATATATTATTGCACTTGTCATTTGTATTCATATCAATATTATTAGTTTTATTATTGTCGAGTATCAATCTTATCTTATGATACGATTTAGAAAACTTGATAGATTTTGCAAACATATATAAATATGAACTTGTAAAAATATCGAAATTTAATCTTTATAATAATTGTAAATATATAATGAATGTAAAATACTTTACAATAAATTTTTTTTATAAAAATATAAAAATTTGATAAAATTCGATGATTGCATTATCATTAGATGCACAAGATTAAAAATTAATATCAGATGTACCTGATTGTTTAAAATGCTATTAACTTCATAAAAAATAAGACGTAGACTATTATATTTGCTTATATCATTTCCTATTTATCAATTCCAGATATCAATCTGGATCGATAATAAATTATGTGATTTTATTATTTTTATTTTTAATTATATATTATTTAACATTATTTTCAATAATTGAAATTATTTAATTAAATATTTATCTATAATTATTTTTTTATTTTATAAAATTTAGGTATTTAATAGTGGTGTGTGTGCACGCGCGGTAAGCCAAGCGGTACGCTATTGCCATGCGCGCCCGCTAAATCTGAAATCCTGATTGGGATATACGCATATTACGCGTTTTGCGTCATGCGAACGCGCGTGCGCTGCGATCGATCTGAGTTAGCTTGCTGAGTTAGTTATAGCGGTTGAGATTTGTGTACGTTTGACATGCGGCTTAGCTTATGTTTTTCGACTTTATTGGCGAGGTGATGGCCAAGTTTGTGTTTTGGAAACCTCTAAAGACGCTTGGAATCCTTCTAGAAGCTTCCAATCCGCATGTCGCACGTACGCCAAATCTGCAAAAACTGTCTGTGTTAGCTGTATTTTGAACAATTAAAATAAATAATGTATTGAAGCATATTAAATAATTTATAATTAAAATGGATATATGCTATACAAGGTACTTATACTATATTTCAAAATATATTTATTTATACTTTAATGTATAATTATAAATCTTTAATGTATAATTTACACACTTTTATATTCATGTATAATTGCTGTAAAAATATGCATTTATTTTATCCATCGAACTAACAGCTCTTATAATATTCATTTCTTCAAGAAGCATTTTAAATAATTTTCTGAAAAAGAATGAAAATAACTTTAGACTCCTGTAAAATAGAAAATATTCAATAATTATTCTATTTAAAATATTTTTTTCTATAAAAATTCAATGACTTCTATTAAAGATATATGCATTAATAGTTTAACATGTATAAAGGTTTTCAATCATAAAAGGATTCAATCATCATATTATAATAACAAAACGTTATTTATCGCAACAAAATATCGCGGAGAATATACAACAATATATAACTTACTCGATTCGTTTAAGTTATTTCCAAGTCCGTTTCATTTAAATGATTGCATAAAACGGTCATGGTAGCAAGCTCCTCATGCATTTCTCGTAACTTTTCAATGATTTGATTGTATCTTGCTACGTGTTTCGTTTGGATCGTCGATGGTAACATTGTTACAGCCATAAAACAGGAATCCGTATTACCAGCTTCAATGAGGCCTTCTATGACACTAAGCTTGACTTCTTCCAAATTGGAACGTTTATATACTTTGCTTAGGAAGTACTCGAGAATCTCAGCCATAAACAAGACTAATAGCGATGAGAAAATATCGGTTAATTCATGCAACTGCTGACCGAGTTTCAGACCAAAGGAGTTATTGGTTGTGCATTCTTGCAACTTCTTGGCGTATATCAACAATAAATAAGACTTCGCGTCCTGTCTAGGTGATAAGACAGATAAAAATATCATTTGCATGTTATCGATAATTTCCGGATTAATAGATTTATTAAAGCAGAATTTATTAATGTAGCTACTAATGAAATCATCTATGAATAAACGCACGGCTTTGTTGATTGGATAAAAGTATATTTTTTTAGGATGGGGCACATTCCAATAAGTTATCACTGCGTTACGGAAGACATCGGCGAATACTTTGATGCGTGCTGCATATTTATCCTTATCCTCTAATAAAATATACGATATTGTAAAATGTCTTGCTGCCCAGGATACATTATTATCCATATGGAATAAAAATCTTCGAAGTATATTTTCAGCAAATTCTTCAGATAAAAGATTGAAAATAGATACAGTAAGCGTCGCTAAGAAATTGACAATGTATTTGTTTGTTTTCTGATCATTCAGTCCCATTCTTTGAAAATCGTCTATCGTTTTGAGCCATAGATCGAGATATCTTACGACGTATTCATTGGGGATCTCGGGAAACAGCTTTATATCCAAAAGCAATGCTTCGTCATTGAGACTCAACGTCGACATAGTTTGACAATATAGGGACCAAGTTTCGGGACTTGGTTTTGTGAGAAAACATTTCTGGAATGTCTCGAATAAAACTTGTCGTACTGAATGATGATTCTCGATTGCCCATGTTTTCTGGAGAAAGTCTATAAGCTCATGCATAGTAGCTATTAAGTACATCAGCCTAACTCCGTGTTTACGTGTACTTACACGCATACTCATCAACTTTTGTGCGACTGATATAACTTTAGGCGAAGAAGTTCGCCTACTTACGTTTGTTAGTGTCATCAAAGCTATTGACAAGTAATCTCCTACACACAATCTAACTACGAGATCCAGAGATATTGGTGGATTGGAAAGTCTCATGCTCAATGGTAAATTTTGTATGATTTTATAGTTATCTTTGGCATTTGGATGATCGATATTTATCGCTGTTTCTGTGGGTGTGAGAGGATCGATTAGTTTTGTCAACTCATCACCGTGAAGTAAAAGAGCCAAGATAACTAGACTAGATGATATTTCATCTGTACTTTTATCGTACACATACTTCATGCAACGTTCAGCAAATTTAATGGGTAAATCTTTGTACCATCGCGTGGCCTTGACGAAGTGTTGTACATGTTTTGAATGGTAGTTCTTCATGCAATCTTCCAAATATTTTTCCCAATTGTCAAGTATGTTTTGTAAATCTCGTTTCAATAGAGCGAGTGCTGCGCCTGATGTTACATTCGCGATGTTTGAAGAAAACAAACTGCAGTACAGTTCTGGTTCATTCTTCTGTAATATATTTCTCACGTTCCAAGAATCTTTTACACGTATTACTTCGTGAATAAAATCCATTAACCAAGGATAATCCCTAACTGTCATTTCTTCTATTTTAATGCACGATTTTTTACTCCTGTTGTTAAAATCATATATTGCTATCAAAAATTGGCAGAAAATATATTGTTTTTCATCCTCTTGAAAAGATTTCTTTTCAATTTGATTTGCGAAAGTTACGAGACATTGCCTCTCATACTGTGGATATTCTTTGAGTACATTAAAATTTATGTACCATCGATTGTTCTTTAGAAATATATCGATCAACTCCTCGATTGGCATATTGTGTATAAGTTTAAAATGTATTATAGCCAAGAGCATTTCTTCCGGCACGAATTCATTTTTTACATAAAACAATCGAACGATGTCTAGTATAACAGAAATCTGCTTTTCATTTAAATAAGGTAAATCGTATATTCGTAAAAGTTGATTGAATATTTGTTGGAATACCCAAGAATTTTCGTTTTTATGTCTTTTTAAAAAATATGTCAAGGTATCGAACAACGCGTCATCATCTTTATTAACATTACAAGCATAAATCATTTGCGAAAGGAGACCAATTCTATCTGTTTCATCTTTAGTTTTATTTAATTTTTCTTTGATAATTGGTATAACTTCGTTAACAGGTAAATAACAAATCCAAACTGTTTTGTATTCCATCATATCTTTATAATGATCCTCCTCTAAGTTCTGCTTCTCGATTTTAATTCTAGCCTGTTTGATCCGTTCCTCGGTAGGTAATAATTGTAATAAGGCAGGCGTGACATTTTTTGTCTCGTTGAGAAAATCGGCATCATATTTATCCTTGTATGACTTACGGAGCAGATCGTATTGTTTATCACGTGGATAATGTTTCAAGTAATCAAGCATATTATCTGTATTAAAAGAAGACATTTCCGCGGGCAGTAAACCAGGAAATATTCTTTCCATTAAATCCTCATTAATTTTTTTGAATGGTAACATGCGGATATATACAAGTGGCTTTTGTATCAGGTGTTGCTGAGCTTTCTTCAGAAATATTTCGGCGCACGTATTGCTCAAAATAATATCCGGAGTCTCGTGAATCTCACACAGTTCCACGAAAGCCTCCAGTCGTTTCTTTATTAATTTAGGGAGGAAAGATTTGTATTCATCGATGCCGATTGCGAATGGAGTGCGCTCAGTCTCGTTTAGTTCACGAGGTTTCAATAATTTGAGAAAACGAACTACCAAATCCGGATTTCTATAGAAGATCTTTGTAACAATTTTAACAGGCAACACGAATTCCTTCTCCACGATCATTTTATAAACGAAAGTCTCGTCGCAAGCTATGATCAATGGATAAGCGGTTTGAATCCCGTAAATAGATACCACTTCTGTAAATATTTCCTGCGCGAAAATTGGATCCTTCCCGAACAATTGATGCGCGAGTGTTAGCACAATACGTGTTCTTGTGTTTATAGAAACGTAAGGGAATAGATGTTCGCAGAAATACCTGACGTTAATGATCTTCTTGTGGCTGCCATCGAAAAACCAGAAGGCTTTAAGTGCCCGGTTTATTATTGTCGAGTCTTCGCATTTGAGCGCCGATGTTATATCCTCGTACTTTTTCTTCTTGATGGCAGTTTCTACATGCAATATAGGTAGTAATTCTGGCGGAAATTGTTCAAGATCTTTAGTCGTCTGATGCAAAGTCAATCTTCCTATTGCCCGGTATTTTTTGAATCGCCCGTAGATGAGACATCTGCAAGTCGCGAGGTATCTCGCAATCCATAATGATGTTTCAAAATGAACGAACGAACGAACAAAATGAAATAAAATATTTCACGTGAATATCCGTAATTTATGTGTCAGAGTTTGTGAAGATGCGAGTATAAGAGCTTCGTTTTTTTATCGTCTTGCGTTATCCAGTGAAATTATCACCATTGATTAAGTGAATTCAAACGTCTTGTTTATTTTGTTCAATCAGAAGATGAAATCGATAAGGGTTGGACTTATCGAACGCTCCGATATTCAATTTTCAGAGAAGAAATGCACTTACTGCGTAAATATGGAATGTTTATTGTTTCCGAAATATATGTTGCACGAAACGCGAATAAAACGAAGTGCGTGACAAAAAACGAAAATCCGTTTTTCACAATTTGCGCAAATATAACTTTGTTTTCGGCCGAGAAATGCAGCACGTAATTCAATATTGCCACGTAACTAATTGTAAAGTTAGTCACACTGACTGATTATTTTTCACACAGTAAAATTTGATCTTATCAAGTTCAAATTCTTATCAAAATCAGCGAGATAATCTCGTCAAATTCTGATCGATTGCACTCGATTTTGTAAAGATCTTTTTCGTGAATTTTGCACACAGGATGTAACTCGTCTTTTCTTCACTCTGTTCATTCCGACTGGATGATTCACGAAACGATCGATGAGTAATATCCTATATATGAAACTTGTCAAAGAATCGCATAACTACATTCGATATACAAATACCAAAGAATACAATGACCAAAGAAGATTGGAAAGAATAGAAGATTCACATATCTTGCAAGCAGAGTCACCTGTTGAGTCTGATGCCCAATTACGTTTCTATTTCACTTGCATTGACTAATATAATATCGATAAGGATTAATAAAGGGTCCTCTACATAGAAGTCGTCGGGAACTGACTAATTCAGGTATTCTCCTTATATTTGATTGTGATTGGTTGATTTCCTACGAATTAAGACTCCAATATTAATAATAAAGTAAATTTATATTAATTATAATGTCAGCGTTCTTCAATTACCTCCGAGCCCTTTTTATATTATCGAAAATTTTCCCAGGATTGACGGTCTTTAATATTGGGTCATCTAAAAAGTATCCGCGGTACTTTGTCACTAGATATATGACCATCAACACACATCAATAGTATCTCGTCGGTGCTAATAATTTAATTTATTCATATTAAATACATATACATTTACATTAATTCTTTCAATAGCCGTGTTTCGATATACATATATTACAATCTACGGTATACGAATTATAGATTTTCAGTACTGTATATCGGAACACGGCCAATATTTTACATTATATTTTATATTAAAGTAAATTAATTAAATATACAATACAATAAGATACTAGATGTGCAGAGGAGAAAAACGCTATAAATTCAGATGCCACGTGTATCAGCTGTTCAAGCAGTGGTACACAACACAGCTGTTTCGCTTAGGAAGGGATAGCCAATCAGAATATACATCAGACTGTCAGTCAGAAATTCGGATATCAATGAGCGCATTCAGTGGAGCCAATGACTGCGTTCAGTAGAATAGTTTATTTTGCAACTGTTGGTAGTTTTCTATGCGCTGGGTTGTGCTTTTAGATCAACGAGGAATAATCCTATCTCAACAGAGAATTATTGTATAAAACGGTTGCAAAACTGTGTTCTGCTGAATGTCTAGCCAATGTTGTTTCTCTCTTAAATATTGGGTCATCTAAAAAGTATCCGCGGTTTTTTGTCACTAGATGTGTGTTGATGGTCATATATCTAGTAGGCATAAGTGCGTCGTATCGTTTTTGTTTTATTATATAATTATAGGAAATAAACAGCATAAAGATTGAAGCTTTCACAACGGCTTCGTCATCCGCTTTCAAAGCGTACCTGACTTGCGGGCTTGCCCGTTGGGCTCTTTCAGCCCAAGAAAGCAGAGAAATGTCAATGCGGACAGTAGTTCATCGTCTCATACAAAATGGTCGCATCGCATTGCGCTCATTACGGAATAACGAGCGCTTCCATTCGAGAAGATATACGGATAAACATCTCGGCAAGATACACGGTGCACAGATAGGTAAATTATGCCTGACTTTGTGAGAAATTTCCCCATGAACTTCGATGATTGTAACACGAATAATAGCATTCTAAAATATATTTCTATGATGTATCAATATTTATATTTTACATTTTTAAATGATACCATTGAATTGTAAATTAATTATCTATACATAGAGCTGTCAGCCGTAATCTTTTAAGAGTACACGATCTTTTTAAGATCATGAAACTTCTAGTTAGTAATTAATTTTTTGCATATAATATGTATATATATATATATATATATATATATATATATATATATGTATTCTTGTTGTGATTCAGATATGGTATAACTTTGTGTGCCTTCCAACAAGCGACACAGTGCGATACAGTGATCATGTCATCTTTGTTTAACATTGACAAACAACAAGGATATAATGATAGAATGATCCATTGTGTCACAATTGTTGTCATTTGTGTCGCTTGTTGGAAAGCACACTTTATCTATTAGAGCATGAATGTTTATGATAAAATAGCATCATTGTAAACTGATTTTATGTAATAAACGTGGACGATTTGTCAATATTTTATTTTCTATTATATACCATCATTTTGCTTTATCTTTGATCTGTAAATATTTTGTATGCTATTAGTAACATATGATCCGATAAAAATTAATTTGTATATAACAATTTTATGTTTATGTTCATGACAGACAAATCCCAGAACAGTCTTTGTCAAACTGGTGGCAATGTATGGAATACAAGAAGACATCTTGGTTATTTGGGAACACATGCTCGGCGTATCTTTGTCGACAATATTTTGAAAAGAGTAACCAACAGTCTTGCAGCAGATTTACGAAGACGTACAGCAAGTAGACTTGTTTTTGGTGATTCTGCGCCATTTTTTGCTCTTGTTGGTATATCATTAGCATCAGGTACAGGGATATTGACAAAGGATGACGAACTGGAAGGAGTATGTTGGGAAATTCGGGTAAATGCATTTTAGTTTGATCTAAATATTGAGATATAACTCGTTTTTCACAAATATGTTACCACTAATATAATACAGAAATGTTATGTTACTATTCTTAGCTTATGAAATGTAATCTAAGATATAGTATATTATGTTCAGGAAGCAGTTTCAAAATTACAATGGAATTATATGCCTAAAGACTATCAAATCATTCATACTGTAACTGATGAGAATACTGTAACTTTACAAAATTTTGTAATGGGACCTATAATTGCTAAAGGTTGTTCTGCTGCTGTATATGCAGCACGATATGTAAATACGTGGGACGAAGATGATTCAATGGATATTGAAGTTAAAACAAAAGATGCAAATGAGTTTCCATTAGCTATAAAAATGATGTTCAATTATGATGCAGAATCCAATGCTGCTGCTATTCTAAATGCCATGTATAGGGAGACTGTACCAGCTAGGAAACATTATAGAAATAATAACTTGACTACTTGGGAGCAAAAATTAACAGAAAATAAAGTCATACTACCATCTCATCCAAACATTGTGGCAATGTATTGTGTCTTTACCGACATGATACCAGTATTACCTGGTTCTTGGAGAATGTATCCTGATGCTTTACCAAGTAGAATTAATCCTCAAGGATCAGGCAGAAATATGAGTTTATTTTTGGTGATGAAAAGGTTATTTTTTTTTAATGAGACAAAATTACACTTATAATATATTCTCACGATATCTAACATGTCGCATTATTTTTAGATATGACACCACTTTGAAACAATATATAACAAGTCGAAATGTTGATATGAGAGTGTCAATATTATTGCTCGCTCAGCTTTTAGAAGCAGTAGCTCATATGAATGCAAATGGCGTAGCACATCGGTAAGACTGAATATCTTTCTATCATTGTTATCTTATATTAATTACATGCAATGATATTTGTTCTATAAATCGACGAGATTTATCTTAGATTCTTTTCTTTTTTATTAATGTTTACAAATTAGAGATCTGAAAAGTGACAACATTTTACTCGATCTGTCAGAAGAGACTGATAATTCTCCATCTCTAGTTGTGACAGATTTTGGTTGTTGTCTGGCCGATAAAACCCACGGGTTATATCTGCCTTACAATTCTCATGATATCGATAAAGGCGGTAATATTGCACTGATGGCACCAGAGGTGATAACAGCAGAGCCAGGTCCTTTTACTAGTATAAATTATACTAAAGCTGATCTTTGGACAGTAGGAACTATAGCATACGAAATATTTGGAATGCAAAATCCATTTCATGGCAAAAAGGATGAGAAAGCTGTTTTAAATAATTATAACTATACTGAAAACGAGCTTCCTGCTTTACCAGACAGTCTCCCATCTATTATCAATATTGTCATAAAAAATGCATTGTCAAGAAATGTGTATAAGGTTTGTAAAAAAAGGCAACAATTTGCTCAAAAATATCTAGTTTTAAAATCGTAATCTTGTATAGAAAAAAAAAATTAAAACTTTTCTTTCTAACACTTTCATAGCGACTCGATAGTGAATTAGCGGCAACTGTAATGCAATTGTATCTATGGGCACCTAGCTTATGGCTAAAAAAAAGTGAGGGACGGCTACCATCCAGCAATGAGGTAAATACATACAGCAAATATACATAATCTATTAAATAAAGCATTTATCTGGTATTTATTAACAAAATTATTTAATGCAAAGCTTTTATATATCGTATGTATAGATTATACAATGGCTTTTGTGTTTAACCACAAAAGTTCTTTGTGAAGGACGGAAAGAAAATTTGCTCCAGTCTTATGAATCGCATGTTGATACAAAACACGATATCAATAGACATAATGCATACAAACCAACACATTCGGAGCATTTTTATGGAAGGCGCACAATGCCAGAATATCAATTAATTGCAAGCTTTCTTAGCAGGGTAACACTCACTAATGTTAAAAATGCACTAAAATGGATACAACGAAATATATAACTAAAGTGTGTATACATACATGCATACATAAAGTACTAAAAATTCAATCCACTTTTGCACAGAAATTATCGGTTATAGAGTAATAATTTTGATAAATCTAATTTGATAAATTCAGGAATATTTTACCCCTAAGTTTCTTTTTTCTATTCTTTTTGCTTGCTATTTTCATATTTAATCTTCAATATTTAATTTGATATTTCAAGAAACATAAAAGAGCGAAGAAGCAATTTAAAAATTAGAAGTAAGATGCAAACAAAATTTATTTTATTAAATTAGTTATTATGGACTAACGTTCATAAATGCTTTTGTAATTTTAATGTCTTATATTTTGAAATATAATTTTTACATATTTAATTTATTTGATGAGTATAATTATTAATAGAGAAGATACAAAGAAATTGATAATAAATATAAATATTATAATCAAAGCATGTTAAAATATGTTTGATAATACACAAATATATTTTGAGGCATGAAACTAGGCTGTGTTGCGGATAAAGTCAAAACTTATGTGAGATCGTTATGCTGGTAATATTAGTTAAACATTAAATACACAATATATTTTCAATTGATATATTATTTATTTTCCTACATTTTTCCCCTTCTCATGCATTTTATAAATCTATGCGCAATCATATCCTTTTCTACTGAATTTCACAAACGCTAGTAAATAAAAAATATATAGGTGCTTTCCAATTGTTGGAAAATTATTGGACACTTGTATATATGGCGACATAAATTGAGTGCGGGAAAACGTCATTCGCGCTATTTAGTGCTACAAGCTATTTACGAAGCTGCAGACAGCGCTAACAAATTATCATGACACTAATGGTAATGTTTTACGTCATAACCGCGTTATCAACACTATTCCTTGCAAGGTAATGTACAGTGTATTACATGATACATCGATGAGGTATGTTTGTAAAGATAGCTGATTTTACAAAAATTTGCGTGACTTTTAAAATTTAAGTAACTCGAAAAAAAAAAATAATTGTATAGTTCAGCTATATCATCTCAAAAATTAGGCTTATTCGACGCGATATATTTTTTTGCATGAAATGAAAGAATCTAGCAGAAATAAAAGCGTGCACTCCCTTTTTCGTAAAACCAAAGTCAATTCCTTTTTTTTTTTGTAAATGAATGATTCCAGTTTACAATAATTTTTCACACATAGCAAGGACAGAGCAGGATCTTTTTAAAGTATGTTTTTTTAACGAGTATTTTATTGCACTTTATTTGCTTAAAAACATTAAGTTCAAATTTCGCGCACTCTACTGTAGCGAAAAAAACACGCGCATATGACCACAAATGTGATCGGCCATAATATATATATATATATATATATATATATGTATGTATATATAATACATGCTTGTTGCACTAAGTTCTTTAGCTAAAGTTCTTGCATGATTCATCTTTTATCCTTTTCTCTCCACGTTGAAGAGACAAAGAGAAAAGGTGAACGGCGCAAAAAGTTCAGTTAAAAAGAACAGCTCCGCCTAAGGCTGTGGCTAAA